CCTCCTCTGTCGCAATCAGCTCATCTATCCAAGATCTGATTCCCACAGTCAGCTTAGCAAAGATCATTGCACAATTAGAATGTGTCTAGCACTGTCAGGGGCTGGATGGAAGGAGAAGATACCAAAAAAGGAAGAAGATTGGCCACTATCCTCAGGAGCTTTTGTCTGAGAAAAGAGAGGTGCGAGGCCTCATGCAGGAAGTGCCAAACTGAGCAGCGGTCCTCGCTGACAGGATTCAGAGAGAGTTACAAGGGGTTGGGGGTGGGCGGGGGTCAGGAGAGCTGGGCACCAGTCCCACTGGCTTCCATTGGGACCTTGAGGAATTCACCTGACCTCTTTCTGAGGTTCATCTTCCCAAGAAGCCCTTTAGTCTAACTACGCAAGAGGATGCCAGGAGATGCCCTGGCTCCCAGAGGAGATCAGAAGGGAAAAACAAGCCCTGTGGCCCTGCTCAGCCCACCAGCCTCACAGGAGAACTAAGCAGAGCCTGGCAGAATGGCCAGAAACTGGGCAGCCCAAGAGGAGGAAGGTCGTCACCACTGCCTTTGCAGTTTAGCAGTCATACATGCGTCCCTGATGGATGTGAAGATTTTAATCATTATCATTTGACCCCCATGGTACTTAGTGAGTAGGGGGTGACACGTGGTAGTCAGTCAATGAATGAGTGAACGAATGTTCACATCCCCTGACATGCTGTGCTGAACAGCGCTGAAATCACAAAGAGGCTTAAGACACAGACCCTCCCTTGAGGAGCCTTCAGTCTTGTTGAGAAGACAAGACAAAAAACTACAACAACATGGCAGGCCGGCTGACACCCAGGCCGGCTGTGGAAATGCCAAGACAGGAAAGTGCCCAGGGATCGGTGGCCTGGAGGTGGCGCCAGGCTCAACGTTACAGAATGAACCGCAGACTCCAGGAGGGGAGGGGCCATGTCTGTCTCTCTGTCTCGTCCACCACTCTCTTCCCTGCACCCTTGAGACATAGTAGGCACACAATTCAAATTTGCTGAGTGATCAACGATTTAGACAAGCATCCCCGGGTCTTCCTGGAGCAAAAACAGAATGACTGTTTAGAGAGCCACCAGCAGGTCGATTCGGCTAGACGGAAACTTTATATAAGGACAGCGGGAGGCTGCCAGGAGGGGGAGTTTAAACTCTTCCCTGCAGTCAAAGTGGGAAGCTAAGGGGCTTTGAGTGGTGAGTGAGGTGACGTCTAGAAAGCACTATTTGGAATTAGATGGTGTTGAAAAGGCACCTGCCAGGCACAAGCCCAAAAAGGCGGTAGCCCTTCCCCCTTAGAACCACCGCTGTGGCGGCAACCGCCAGAAGGATTAGAAAGGCTGAGAACAGGGTGGGGAGGTGGAATTGGAAATTTTTACAAGCGTTTGCGAGTCAGATGTGAGAGCCAGGAGAGTGGGATGTGAAAGAGGGAACAGGATGTCAACTTGGGAGACTCTGTCAGCGGGGGAAGGGACTCAGAGAAAGGTGAGTTGAGGATGAGAAGATCCATTTCTGGCACTTTCTTCCCACTCTCCAGTCCCAAAGCAGCCTGTGGGTATCCGTTTACTCAGAGGGAGCAGCTGGGACCCCACCTGGGCAGGACTTTCCTAATTCTGTGTCCCTGTTTAGTCTGAAGGTCATGAATTCCCAGCACAATGGACACGCCCCTGTTTACAGTATAAACTTCTAAGCATGTTCAAAGCTGAAGAAGGGAGAGGGAGATTGGGGAAAGCCTGGGTCTGGGACACTCAATATCTCCTGATGAATAATTCAAAATGGGCCTGGTCCTCCCACCTCCAGACCCCTACATGCCCGTCATAAGGGCCCTGCTCAGGATAGACTTGGGGCTCTAGGGGAGGCAGCCCCCTTCCCCAAGAGCCTGACTCCTGCTTTCTTCCTCCTTCCTACCGGAAGCCTGTGGGCAGAGCCTGAAGGCCCCTCGGGTGGTGGGCGGGGAGAAGGCCTCTGTGGATTCTTGGCCTTGGCAGGTCAGTATCCAGTATGACAAACAACACATCTGTGGAGGGAGCATCCTGGACCCCTACTGGATCCTCACAGCAGCCCACTGCTTCCGGTAAGGCCCAGGTGGGAGGAAGACTCCAGGGTCAGAGCCGTGGAGGGGCCTGGGTGCCTGGGTCCCGTCTCTCAACTTGTTTTCTGATGCTCTCAGTCCCCCTCGTCTCCCCCTACAGACCATGCGCCAGGGTGTGGCCAGCCCAGTGAGACACAGGACAAGATGTCCTTTGTTAGGCCTTGGGGTCTGAGCAGAGGTTGCTGGTCACCAGACCCGACCTCTTCTCTTCCAGGTGGGAAGCCATCAGATACCCAGTGTCCTCACTCCCTCACCCCCGGTTTCATTCACTGCACAGAAGCTCTTCTCATCTGCCTGAAGTCCAGAGGACTCTCTCCCTCTTTGCTGGTCTTCTAGGAAGTGGTTCTGGCTTCAGAGTCACTGCCACTCCCTCAATACATCCAGAAACTTAAAAAAACAAGTACAGATTCTCTTACAGGCCAGCAGAGAGAGGCAAGCCTGCATCTCTGGGGAAGGACCACTCCAGGCCCTCTTTGCCTTCATTCATTCATTCATTCCATATCTATGAGTACCTTAGGTACCACGCACCACATCATACGCCCTCATGCATTAGACTCCATCACTGCCTTAGAGGAGCACACAGTGTAGACCAGTGATTCGTAACCTCTTTGGAGAATCTAACAAAAGCTATAAACCTTTCCCTGGAAAACCGCTCCTGAGCACTAAGCCGTGTCTGGTGTCGAGGGGAAGAAAGACCAGGGAAAGATAAGAGAACGGACCTCAATACAAGCACCACATGCGACCACGGCCAGCAGAAAGCATTGGAGGAGAGTGTCAGGACCCCAGAGCGCAGGCCCTGGGAACAGCCTCTTCCCTAGACCTCCAGGGGGCGATTTCCTTTGGCAAGTTTCCCCAGGAAAAAGGATCCAACACCCCTTTTAGAATTTGGTCTGTGGTGGTGATTCCTCAGACTGCCCTTCTCCACTACCCCTGCCCTCACCGGCATTACCTCCAAAGGCAGGGGCATCTAGCGCCCCAATCCCCAGGGCTGTGGGGACCTATCCTTTGGCAAAGCCTCCTCATGTTTGGCTCAGACCTGAACCCCGCTGTCTCTGCCCCCAGGAAGCAACTCGATGTGTCCAACTGGAAGGTGAGGGCTGGCTCAGAGAAACTGAGCAAACTCCCATCCCTGTCTGTGGCCAAGATCTTCATCACTGAGCGCAACTTCATGCTCCCCAAAGAGAAGGACATTGCCCTCGTGAAGCTGCAGTCCCCACTCACGTTCTCCGGTGAGGGATGGCACCTGGGAACAGAACCCCTACTCTGCCACTCGTTCATTCACTAAGTGGCCTTGGTCATGTCGCTTCTCCTCCCAAGACCCGTTTGCCCATTGTTTCCAGCAAATACATCAGCCTCACATCACTGATGACACGAGGCCTGCTCGAGGTGTCAGCAGACACCCCAGCCCACCTTTGCCAGTGATTCTTCTGAGGTCTGTTTTCTCCACGTGGAGCACCTCAAGCAAGAATCGTAGATTCATTCCGTCCTAGAGTTGTGAGGGACCTAAAAGGTCCCCTAGTCCATCTTCCACCCCGACCAATGACAAGAGCCTGTACCATCTCCCTGCCGAGGGGCCACTGTGTCTGTTTGCTCTCCTCCAGGGGCAGGGAACTCACTACTGTGAGGGAAGCTCACAGGCTCTTTGAACAGCTCTGTTCAATGACTCACGCTTACACTGGGTTGTATTTAGACCAGCATTTCCAGTGGCTGGCTCCACAGGACACTGGTCCCTTGGGGAGAAGAGGGCTCCATTCTCACATAAGTTTGGGAAACATTTTTATACTATGCCTCTCTTCCTGGAACATATTCATGTATATTAATGATACGAGAGGTATTTTCTTTAAATTTTTTTTGCAGGGGTTAGCTAGGGGTTTATTTATTTATTTACTTTTTCAGTGGAGGTGCTGGGGATTGAACCCAGGACCTCGAGCATGCTAAGCATGCACTCTACCATTTGAGCTATACCCTCCTCTCCTTGTTAAAACTTTTTTCAAGAGGTTTTTAAAATTTTTAAACAATTTGTTTTATTGTGTTTAACTCACACTTTCTACACTTATTTGACTACAGAACCTCCTTCTCCTAACACTTCTATTACCATCCATGGCACATATGCTGTAGAAACCGTGCGGTCAGCTCTTACAGAGGGCTTAGCTGCCAGGCTCTCTGAAACCTTGCTTTCCTCTTCCTCTCTGCCTCCTGGCAGGTACAGTCAGGCCCATCTGTCTGCCCTTCTCTGATGAAGTGCTCGCTCCAGCCACCCCAGTCTGGGTCATTGGATGGGGCTTTACGGAACAGGGTCGAGGTAAGTCCTGGGCTCAGGACCACAGGCCTGAGAGAATTCCCAGAGGTGATGGGAAGGAGGACCATCCTTTAGAAAAATCCATCTTGGAGGTCCAAGCACCATCATGCCAGGCAACTCAGAGAATTATCCTCGGCTGGGGGGGGGGTAGAAGGCAAGAATGGGAATGCAAGTGTGTTTTCTGCCTCCAGGGAAGATGTCTGACACACTGCTGCAGGCATCCGTCCAGATCATTAACAGCACACGCTGCAATGCAGAGGATGCGTACCAGGGGGAGGTCACCGAGAAGATGCTGTGTGCAGGCATGCTGGAGGGCAGCGTGGACACCTGCCAGGTGGGGCCTCCAAGGATCATGAGGAGATTATACAGCTAGGGATGTCTGTCCCGGAGATTCAGAGGCTCAATGCCCCACATGAAGTCTTGCATATGGGGAGCACTCAATCTCTGACAAAGGGAGGAAGGTGGAGAGGGAGGGGAGGAACAACTATAGTCAGATATACATATAAGAATGGATGGATGGACAGATATAGATACATAGATAGATACAATCAGAAAGATTTCAAATGTGTATTTCGCAGACGCAGATGATGCTTCCCTCCCCATCCACTCTCACCCGCCATCATGTGCAGAAGTCCGAGCCCTTAGAGGGCAGGAATCCCACGCCTGTTTTCTCTGTAACTGCTCTCAAACTGCTCAGCTACACTGGAGAAAGCCCCCCTCGTGCTGTATGAGCCCTGGTGCAGTGTCCCCTCACCCCACCCCTACTGGCCAACTCCTGAATCCCTTCTCATGTCCCCACCCAGAGGATCTTCTGAACCATTTTCATTAAAACTCCAAAACCCGATTCCCGCCCCCTCCTAAGTCATGAAATTCCTTCACTCAAGAGGCATCTCTTAGTCATCTCTTGATGTGAGGTAAATGCTGGCCTTTGGGGACGGTGTCTTCCCTTGGGGAGCTCACAGTGGTGGGGGGGGGCTACATAAACAGGTAGTTCAGCTACAGTGGTACTGGGTTCTGAGGAGGAAGCCCCAGAGGCTGTAAGAGCTGGTAAGAAGGACATTCAAATAAGTGCCCTTTTTACTATCTGACATTTTCTAGTCTGGTTTGTTGTTTGCTTTTTTCCCCTTCCCTCCCTCCCTCCCTCCTCTCTTTCTCTCTCTCCCTCCCTCCCTCCTTCTCGCTCTCTGTTCCATTTGATTCTAAGCTCCTCGAGGGCAGAGATCTTTCTTCTTTTCATTGCTTGAATCCCAATTGTCTAGAACAGTGGCTGGCAGGAAACTGGCCCTCCTGAAGTGGTCAAATAAATTTGGGAAATACTAGGTTAACCAGAGATAACCAGGCTTTCTTCCTGCAGGACCTCTTAGAGCCCTCACTGTGCTAGTGTGAGTTGTGAAGAGAGGGCTGACAGCACACCCACAACTCACTTGACCACAGAAGGAACCCTCCTGCCCCAAAAGGGAAGGGCATTCCAGGCTTCAGGAACAGCATGAGCAGAGGGATGAGGGTGGAAAAGCAGGGGGCGCTAGAGAGCAGGGGAACAGATGGGCCAGGAAGTGAGGGGAGGAAAGAGAAGCCCACCCCTCCATCTGACCCCTGCCTGCCCTCCCCAGCAGCCCCTGCTCTGGCCTCTCACAGGGTGACAGCGGTGGGCCTCTGATGTATCACTCTGACCAGTGGCAAGTGGTGGGCATCGTGAGCTGGGGCCATGGCTGTGGGGGCCCGAGTACTCCGGGAGTGTACACCAAGGTCACAGCCTATCTCAATTGGATCTACAATGTCAGGAAGGTGAGCATGTTTGCCCTAGCCGTTGTGCCCTCCCTCCATTCCTCTCCCCTGAGGGTACCAAACCATCCTTAATGGCGCTGAGATACCCCTTAGCATCCCAAATAATCTTCCTGTCTAGCAAATGACAACCTGGGATTCCATCATTAAGAGCTGAAATTCCTTAGATCAGAGATTGCACTAAATGCAAATCTCTTAGGGTATGGAACACACTCAGTTTGACCCTTCTCTATTCTCTGGCAGAATGAAACTATCAGACACTTTCCAGAGAACATATTCTTATAAGAGGGAGTGTGGAAAGGCTTATGAGATTTCCTGGCTCCTAGAGAGTAGAGAAACGAGCAAAGAGCTTCAAAAAAAGGAAGACTAATTTTGCATGCCACTATTTTGTCCAGTTTCAAAGCTCTGACTTCTTTGTTGGTCTCTTTGATTCTAGTCTGATCCATGATGCTGCTGCCCCCCTGCAGTGCTGAAAACTGCTCCCCCCAACCCTGCCCATGTGGGGGTCCCCCAGAAATCAGACACATAGCAAGAGCCCCCTTGGGCATACCGTTCTGCCCACAGTCTCAGCATTTCTTGGTGCAACAAAGGACTTCATTTCCTGTAAGAGCCCCCACAGCCCACAGGCACCCTGGAGGAAGTCAGCAGCCCTGGCTCAGCTGCCCCGGATGCTCTCAGCATCCGAAGGGGAAGAGACACAGCCCAATGAACAAGCCAGCCTCCAGGCCGAGATCTCAGGAGGCATCACTAAGCCAAGAAGGAACTTTCTACTCTACTGAATAGAAATAGATGCCTTTCTGAGAGCCCAGATCACCACAGACTGGAGAGGAGGAGGAAGGGGTCTGAGCCAGCACTCTCCTTCCCCACCCATCCCCAAGCCCACCCAAACAAGAAAGCCCTTATAATGTAAAGTGCGTTGTCCTACTGTTGGCACAAATACTGTTACTTGCTTTTGTTATTGTTACCTCAGTGGCCACTGTTATTAAACTGGTATGTGAAGTCTTTGACATAGGCTGACTGGGCTATGAACCATGGCTCAGCTCTGAGCCAAGGCGACTGAACTATGACCTTTATTCTTTGGCCTGAGTAGGAAAAGTTCCTGGGGATACGACTGAGTCTCAAAGTGGAAGAAAAGAAGACATGGAGACCAGAGCTGATGGGTAAGGGCAACGGTGAGGAAGCCAGGGTTAGTAAGTCTCTTCTTCACAGGACCTGTCCCGTTGCCCTCCTCCCCTTCCTCCCTGCTGTGACATCAGCCATAGTCCAGAGAGAACCTATGACTAGGGAAGGAGAGGATTTGGGCATTCAAGGCCGACATTAAATCATGGTGCCCCCAAGTGGCTGGAAAGAGACATTGCGCCTTTAAATCCTTTCAATCTGCCTGGTGAAAACTGGATGTGGTTTTTAGCATTCATTTGAAAAAAATTGTTTACCACCTGCCAGGTATGAGATGGTCTCCAAGCTGGGTTCTGAGGATATAAGTATAAGTTCCCTCACTCAAAGTGGTCAGAAAAGTAAGCCCCGTGGACTTCTCCGGCAGCTGTATGGAAGCCCAGGTATTCTGAGGATCCTCTTGCTATAGTTAAGTCAAATCCTAGATAAAATATACTTGCTAATGGCTGACTAAGTTCTTAATAAATAATAGAAATCCTCAAAGGCCAAAAAATCAAAATAAAATAAAACAATGATCAGAACCATGAGTTGAAACTAAGGTGGAGATCTGGGAACAACAGCTAACTTAAATCTCAGGTGGCCCCGGGGACAAAGAAGGTTTTCATGTAGATCAGAAGTAAACACAGACCTACTGCAGGTAAGGAAGCTGCACCTGGGATTCCCGCATGAAGCAGAGACAGCCAAAGGGGGCAAATGTGGTCCCAGCTGGCAGATCTAATGGAGGAAAACATCACAAGCCTAGAGCCTTAGGATTCCCAGACAGAGGTCCTCCAAATATGAGCACACAATCAAAGGTCAGCCAAGATTTTAAAAAAGAAAAATCACCAATTGGGGGGTGTGGTCATCAAAAACAGAAATAGAACCTCATGACGTCAGATGTTAGAATTATCAGATAATTATAATAATAACTAATAGAGTATTTCTGGGTGCTGGACACTATTTAAGTGCTTCGCCATATTCTGATTCATTTAATACTCACATGAACCTATGAGATAGGTACTGTTCTCATCCCCATTTTATGGATAAGAAAACTAAGCCACAATGAGGTTAACCTTGCCTGAGGTTACCTACTGGTAAGCTGAACATGAGCATTCTGACTCCAGAGTTCATGCTATGAACTACCACGCTACAGGGCCTCCTATATGGTAAAATATTTAAATATATTAAAAATGGATTTTTTCCACATTAAAAATTTTTTTAATTGTGGTAAAATACACATAACATAAAATTTACCATCTTAACCATTTTTAAGTATACAGTTTAATGATTTTGACATTCATACTCTTAAGCAATCATAACCACCATTCACCTCCAGAATTGGTCTCACCTTGCCAAACTGGCACTCTGTACCTATGAAACAATAACCCCATTTCTCCCTCCCGCTGCCCAGCCTCTGGCAGCCACCATTCTACTTTCTGACTCTATGAATTGGCTACTTTAGGTACTTCAAATAAGTGGAATCATATAATGTTTGCCTTTTTGTGCCTGGCTTACTTCACTTAATATAGTGTCTTCAAGGTTTATCCACAATGTAGCATGAATCAGAATTTCCTGCTTTTTTAATGACGAATAATATTCCATTATTTATACCACATTTTGTTCATCCATTCTTCCATCAAAAATTGGGTTGCTTCTGCCTCTTGGCTATTGTGAATAATGAACATGGTTGTACAAATATCTCTTCAAGACCCTGCTTTCAATTCTTCTGAGTATATGCCCAAAAGTGGAATTTCTGGAGTATATAATTATATAATTTTTAATTTTTCATTGTTTTCCATAATGGCTGCATCCTTTTACATTTCCATCAACAATGAATAAAGGATCCAATTTCTTTATATTCTCACCATGCTTGTTATTGTCTGTTAAAAAATTAATATTTCAATAATGAAGCAAAAATGACAGGCAGATTTGAAGAAGAACCAACCACACATAGCTCTTATAAACATAAAGTATAATTATTAAAATGAAAAACTGAATGTTTGGGGTAAATAGCATTTAAGACATAGATTAAGAGAATTCATGAATTGGAAGATAGATTGAAGAAGTTACTACATTTCAGCGGAAAGAGATAAGAACATTTGAAAATATGAAAACAAGGCTATGAACAATGGAGGCTAGAATGACAAGGTCTAATATATCTGGTCAGAGGCCCAGAGGAGGAGAATAGAAAGAATGGAAGAGAGACAATATCCCAAAACTTAATACCTGATATCCAGAACTAATTAAAGGCATAAATCCACAGATACAGCATATGCCACTGTAGTGTACACCCATACAACCAAAGGGAGAAAAATAAAATAGATCCTCATGCAGGCACATCATAGTGAATCTTCCTAACACCAAAGATGAAGAGAAACTCTGTAAAGCAGCTAGAGAGAAAAATTCAGACTATTTACAAAATCACAGAAGTACCACAGTTAGACTAACAGCAGACTTCTCCACAGCAACAAAGGAGCCAGAAGACAAGGAAATTCTGTCTTCAGTGTGCAAAAATAATCATGGCCAATCAAGAATTATGAACCCTACAAAACTATCTTGCAAGGAAAAAAGGGCATTTTCAGAAGAACAAAAATTGAGAGTTTACTACCACAAAGCTTCTCAAAAGGGACATATAAAGTACGTACCTTAGGGAGAAGGAAAATGATACTAAAAGGAAAAACAGATGCAGAAAGGAATAGTAAATGATGCGATTGGTAAAAATGTAGACAAATCTAAACAAACTTTGTCAACATAAAATAACAATAGCATCTATTTTGTTACTGTTATTCAGTTAATTTTTAAATGTCTAATTAAAATACAGAATAACAACAGCAGTATGTAAGTCAGAAGGGGCTAGTTGGAGTTAAAATATTCTGAACTTAAGTTTTTCAAGAGAGAGGTTTAACTATTGATTAAAGTTATGTTACATAAAGTGTATTTACTATATTTTAAGTGGTCAAAAGAGTAATTATCAAAAAAAATGGATGTAATGTGTTTAACTTCAAAACAAGGAAAAGAAATAGATTAAGGAAAAGCAAACAAAATATCAAACACTCTCAAAAGAAGAAGGAGGAGGAGGAGAGGTAAAAGTAAGGAAAGCACAGAAAATAGAACAAATAGAATGTACAAAATAGGATGCTAAAGACAAAAATATCAGACTTCCCATAAATGTTAAACTCACCAACTAATACACAGAGATAACAGAATGGATTAAATCAATCTACATGTCATTTAGAAGAGACACACCCAGAATGTTAGGTTACAGACCAAACTAAAAAGATGAAAAAAAGATATAGAAAGTAAACACTTCACCAAATCTAAGCTGAGGATGCTGTAAAATATATTTTTTAAAATAGCAATTTAGGACAATGAATATATATATATTATATATATATATATATATATGTTCATGTATAACTGAAAAATTGTGCTCTACACTAGAATTTGACACAACATTGTAAAATGACTACTACTCAATAAAAAATGTAAAAAATAAAACAAAATAAAACAGGGATTTAGGATAAACGGAGTCACTACATAATCATAAAAGCTTCAATTTACCAGGAAGATACAGTTAAGTTAAAACTTGTAAACAAAGAGAAGAAAAAAAGCAACCCCTTCACCACTACTGGAGTTGCTATCACATCAAGTCTTTATTCTGAAATGATACTTAAAGAGAAAAAAACTAAGTAGTATTCTGCTTTGCTGTAGAAATCTACTTCCAGGTATAACCAGATAACTTGAGATGGTGAGGGAAAGCTCTTCTCTACAGAAAAATATAGCTAATCGATACAGATGAATGATAGAAAATCACTTTTAGCAACTTCTAATGAGATAATTGATTTAAGCAAGGATCATCAATGGATGCGAAAACCATTAAGTGAAAGGTTTATGGAGAACAAGATACCTGCAGAATGCCCAAGTATCACCTCCATAGATTCCTTGCTAATCACAAGAGGAAAACCTAACTTTAAAATCAAGGGATTAAGCTGGCATCACCCACCCACTGACAGTGGATAATCAGATACCATGTGCCTCCCAATGTGGACATGCAGTACACCTCATGCTGTGTCACCTAAAGGCAACTTATCAAACATGCTTAACCCAAACCTTTCCATCTTATTTCCAGCTTATAGGAAATATAAAAATTAGAGGAATAAGTTAAATGACACCACTTGGAAGCTAATCACAAATCCAGAAGGTGGGACATTCTACTACACAGATGAGCCAATCTCTTCAATAAGTCAATGTCATGAATGACATAACCACCAAAACACAGGATGTGGACCTTGATTGGATCCTGACTTGAACCAATTAGCAGCAAAAGGCATTTGAGTGAAGGGGTAGTTGGGGAAGGATGAATATGATCTGGGTATTGAATGATAACAAGGAATTGTTAATTCCATTATGGTATCATACTTAAGGAAAATATCCTTAATTTTTAGAGATGCATATAGAAGTATGTGGGGTAAAATGACAAAAAGTTGTTAACTCAGGGAAGAAAAAAAAACAGTTGAAATAAATATGGCAAAATATCAACAAGTGCAAAATCTAGGTGATAGATATGTATTATTCTTTCTAGTTTTCTGTATATCTGAAATTTTTCTCAGTAAATGGTTCTTTTTTAACTTATATAAGCACAATATAAAAATAGCCTTAAAAACAGATAGAACTGTAAGGAGATATTGATAAATCCACCATCACAGAGCAAACTTTCAGCGCACTTCTCTCAATTATTGTTAGGTCAAACAGGTAAAATATTAGTAAAGTATAGACAATTAAACAATATAATTAGTCTGCTTGGTTAATAGATGTGTGTAGAACCTTGCACTCAATGCTCAGAAAATGAGCATCCTTCTCAAACACATTTGCTTAAAAAAAAAATTAACTCCATACTAGTCCACAGAGTAAGTCTCAACCCATTTCAAAAGCATATGAGCACCCACCACACCTAGTTTTGTGTTCCCATCAGTCTTGCCTGCATTCCCCATGCTCTCACCTCTAGGATGTAGGCGGTAACCTGGCTTCCTGCCCTGGGTGGGCCTAGCTCTGGCCCCTTTCATTTCCCTGGTTCTAAAACCCTGGCAACTGCTGCCATCTCTTCTCCTAACACCACATTGGTGCCAGGGCTGGGCTTTGGCTTGGGTGGTCTTCATCGTACCCACCAGCACCCAGAGCCAGAAGACTGTACCCACA